CCATATGGAACTACTTGTGAGAGGGGGATGGTTCAAGGAAGCTTCAAAGAAAATGAGAATGACAGCATTACTGTAGAAAACAGACAAGACAGCAATCCCAGAGCTGTGTAAGTTTCGTCCAGACTGCTATTAATTTTAGCAGCTCAACTAGCAGAGGTTCTTTTTGATGGTCAATATGTTGGCGTTTGTAAGAGCTATCACATGTTAGCCTCCAGTTCTCATGGGCAGAGGCTGCACACGCTGTACTGAAAACGTGTAACAACTTTTCACAACAGTGTGGACGAGGCTATGAGCACAGAAACTATTCCCTTTTGTGACGAAAGGCAGGAAACTGAACCAGGAATTGTTGACGGCAAAATGTTCTGCAAGTTTGAAAAGTAAAAGCATAAATTAATATGGCTAATCTCCAGAGATCTCAGCACAATCAGGAATAATGCAGGACAGTAGAAATGAATCCTGGTTTCCCATACTCCAGCTCTGCTCAAACCAATAAACCTCTTTTTTTATATCATGTACTGTGTGATGGAACAACTGAGCAAAATAAAGTTGTATTATAGGAAATCACAGCCCAGGTCATACCAGCCATAGATCTTAGCAGATGGTGACTCCAAAGCTAAAGCACCTGTATTTCTCCTCTTCGTGACAGTATTGTGTGATGCTCATGGTAAGTATACAAACCATGAGAAAATATTTTCAAATGGGGGTTCTTATGTATTTTAAATGTAATGACTCTCTTTAAGAGACTTCCCCTCTTCTCCAGCAGATGCATGGCTAAAGTACTTAGAGAAACAAAGCAAAAATAAAGCAGAGAGAAAATTTTAGTCATTAAAAGCAGACAATATATTTCAACTTTTTTTTAAAAAAGTATGCATATATGCATGTGTATGTATGTATATATACTTATTTCAACCTTGATGCATGCTCTCCAATCAAGTGCAGTACTTCAAAAAGAGCACCTAACCAATGATGAAAACTGGCAAGCTAACATTTACAATAAAATGTTTTAATTACAAGGTTTTCCAACTAAGGGTTAAGAATTATGTCATAAGGAAGACAACCACTGAAACCAATGTAGTCGGACTGAAAGGCTCCCACCCCACAACAATTATCAGACCCAGAAAGTCTGATAGGTGTGAATGCATGTTTCATCCTACTAAACACCAGGAGAAATTTAGAGCAATGATTTGTTCTGTTGGGCTAAAAAGAGGATGATCTCAACCATACTCATGTCAGAACATGTCAATTGGTTCCTTAATTTACTGAAAAAGTACATTAATCGGCAGGTACTGGCAAATCATGTTTCACAAATCAAAAACACATTGTCTCCCTTAGTGGAATTTTATATGCAACAAAACCAGTTTTTGAAATAAAACCTAAACATATCGTAACTGCAAAGGAAA